TAAATCTTTGCAGAGTTATTTCCCAGTGGTTGCTGATAAATACTGCCTTGTTTGTTATATAATAATATTTGCTTTTTTGTCATGTACTGATATATCTGCACAATTAACTTTTAGCACAGTATTAAGAAAAGTCTTCTAATTGGGCTCTGAGCAATATTTGTAAACACACAAAGCATTTACTAAATGAAAGATGATGGTAAGCACAAATAGATTAGAAACAGCAAGTCTGCGGAGTCACCTAGGACTGTTCTTAGCATCTGTCGTTGCCCATGTACAATTAGGGTTGCTGAATGAAGAGGGCTCCTTTTATTGCTTCAAAATGATGCTTCATTAACTCTCCTGATACAGTGGTCTCTTTGATAAGAATATTCTGGACATGCTGGAGTCACTTGCTGAAGTCTTTGCAAGTCATGTTGAGTAATTTAGTACATACAAGCCACATACTAAGTACAGTTCCTCAAAAAATAATATATATATATTCACACAAGTTGTAATTACTACACAGGCTTAGATGTTTTGTCTTCCTTGATACTACTTAACTAGCATCAGAATTTGTTTTTAAGGCACATAATACTAGAATGATGATGAATACAGCAGGAAAAATATATACAATTCTCATTTATAATTTTGTAAGATCTTTGGAAAATTGCCTTCCATCATCTTTTTGAACAGAACTAGTACTACAATAATAAGTTATTTGCCCACTTGAAATGTAAAATGCTTGTTCTGTCTGTTCAGCTTTTCCCTTTTATCACATTGTTGCTTCCTTGCCCACAAATTTCTACCTTTTGTCCACATAGCAGTAAGGGTTAAAAAGATATTTCTATTCTTGAAGATACAGATAATAAATTTTATAATTATTTTGATTCCCTCATTCTATGGATGTAGTTTACTTTTTTCTAGCTGTAATATATTGCATTTGTTTGACTACTTTTTGCAAAGAGTAACTTGTATCCCTATGGTGAAATATACACATGAAATTAAAAAAAAAAAAAAAAAAAAAACTCTGATATTGGTGTAATCTGGCAAAACACTAATATTGAAAACTGCCGAAAGCCTCCCAAGTGCCATGCAATTCTGCACAGTGCTCCACCCTGCAATACAGCTTTGCCATGTGAAGAAGGAAAAAGTCAGGTAGGTTCTACCCTGTGGAGCCTCCTGGATCTTGGCAGCTGGCTTGGACTTCCCCAGCTGCAGACCAACCTCATGGAAGTGTGAGCACAAGCCTAGGGAAGGGCAACGCCGACGGCTCCAAGTCACTGTAGTGAGACCATGTGAATGGTGCTTCCTACTGCATATGACTCAATCTAGCCAGCTGAATTGCAGAGAGGAGGGTTTAACATCAAGGTGTGATACCATCAAGTAAAATATGAGATCCTGTACATCTTGAAAAGATTGTGTGTGTGCGTGTGTGTGTGGTACCATGCCTGCATGCATTTTTTTTTTAATACTCAAAAATTGTGCAGTTCTAACTTGAAACATGGATAGAAAGGCATCTCATTAGAAGTGCATTGCAGAAGTAAGCTAATGTTGGAAGCTGGCTGTGACTGCTGTCAAAAGCTGCAGTGGCCTTTTGGTGCAAGTACTAGTGTCACAGCCCTCCTGACCAGCCGGTTGTGGTAGTAGTCCCAACCCTGCATTTCTAACAGCTCAAGCAGAAAATGCTTGCACTCCAATTTTTATCCCCTGGTGAAGAGCATGATTCAGCCAGGGATTTAATTCCTTTGCCATGCACCAATTAATAAGAGCAATTTGCACTTGTAATTTGAAATAGATGCTAGCTAAACTGACAGATTCTATTACAGCTGCTGTTACAAGTGAGGTATCAGATATTATTAAGATAGCATCTTTGTAATGGGCTTTGTTAGTTGCCAAATGGAAAAACACAGCTCATTATTTACTCCATCTAAATAATGGGTTGTGGTAATGTGCATTCAGGAAATAGCTATTACTATCTCTGTAAAATTCAAAATCGATGTATCCTTGAAGTACGTGAGGTGAGGTTTGTAGATAAGAGCCAAAGTGCAAGGCTTCTTGAAAAAGCCAAAGCTTGTGCTTTCACATGCATGATGTGCACAGCAAAGACTACAAACAAAACTATATGCAAACTATTGGTCTGTGAAAGAATGACACCAGTGCTATCTCTTATGAAAATATTGGGCTGCCATGTCTACAGAAAGAACTGTACTTCTCAGTTGTCTCATCTGTTAATTGGGGATGCTAGAAGCCAGTCCCAAAAAGCCTACTGCTCTGTGTAGGTATACAACTCATCAGTTATGTCAAGTCTCTGGTTCATGTATCTAAGTTCTGCTGAGTGGGTGATTTGTTTGGGCTGTAACCTGGGATGTGGAATACTGAAGGGTGCAGCTATTTAACATTTGCATTCCCTGTGTCATTGAGCGGCTCTTTGTACTTCTATGTTTAAACATCTCCAAACTTTGTGTTTTAAGTCTAACCACCTGTATAATTATAAGGCTGTTCACTTTTGTTCAATGGAAAATATAGATTTAGTTGGCATCTGCACCTTGGGAGCAGCTTTGAAAAGCTGTATGTCACTTTATCGCTGTCTTCAAGAGCAGGGTGCAGTCCCATAGCAGCTTGTGCTGGCAGACACCTTGGCTGTGTGTCATCTTCCTGAACCTTATGATGGTACCACTGTTTGTGGAGCTGGTTCAGGTAGGTGGTCAGGATGAAAATCAGCTCTGTTCCTTGCTCATGTAACTGGTTTTCTGCTTTTGGCTCAGTGTCTGGGTTCACCACGCTCTGCAAATGCACAGTGGTGCAGGAGAGGAGCAGGAAAGCGGGGCAAGTCTGTGCCAACTGACCCAGACCCTCCCTGTGTTCCCTAGGGAAAGCAGTAGCTCCTCTGTCAATTCTCTTCTGGATCCATATCTATAGATATAATCCTCTAAATGACTAGACATGAATTACAAGAAAGGATTTTCTCACCAATAGTGACTTTCATTTGTCCTTAAGACTTGTTGGATTTAGTTCAAGGGCCTAGAGCAGTATGCTAGCTGATCCTTGACTTCTGTTCATGATGAGCTGTGATGCTGCTTAATCCACCTTGGGAAGTTTGGAATGCTTGAACCAATGCTTCAAGAAAGCAGTATTTTCTCTAGTCCCGCTTACTATCTTGATATCTTACCTACAAGCCTAAATTTTACATAAAACATTTCATGATGGGTGTTTGGTGCTCCTATAAATGTCCTTTTTTAACAGAGGAAATTGCAAAAAGTTTTTTCCCCTTATATTCATGATGGTGCTAAGATGATTGCATAAGCTATACCAGAGAAAAGTAAAGATCTATAGAAATGGATGTCCAGGATTTCTAGTTACTAAGCTGGAATTTCTCAGTCCCTTGCACTTGTATTAGTGGATTAGCTGTTTCATGAAGTGTTCACAGAGTGTTTCATGTCAT